GTGCAAAGAAAATTTATACTCTATTTACTTTTGTTTATATAAACATTGTTGAGCACCTACACATACGCCAACCATAGAGATAATGGTAAGGTAAACATACTAAATTGATAGACAATATTTATATGTACGTATGCACAAAGTTTGCGAATAAAGCTTAAAATTGAGTATAAGGTAAAGAAATATTGCTAAAAGTTACATAATTATATTTTTTCATTTTAAAAATTACACAAAGGGCAAAAATTCTCTAACTTAGTTAAAAAAAAACAATACTTTAGAGCAAAATAAAATCTTTAAAAATAAAAAGAGCAACAATGCAAATATAAAATAATAAGGAATAATATAAATTAAAATAAAATATATCAAATATAGATGAATGAAATTAAACCAAGTTAAATAAAAATATATGAGATCAAATAAAATTGTAACAATTAAAGAAAATAAATAAAATTAAATTAAGAAAATAATAATTTAAAAAAGAAAACTGAATGAAATAAATTGAAATGAGATAAAAAAAATTGTTACAATTCAATAAAATAAAAAGAATTAAACTTAAAGAAAATTTAAGGAAATTAATGAAATGAAACAAACTAAAAAAAAAAATAAATAAAAAAATAAAATGTATTAATATAAAATAAAGTGTAATAACAAATTAATAAAATTAAACTAAAATATTTTATTAAATAAAATAAATTAAAGTAAAATATATGACTATGAATGAAATTAAATAAAATAACATAAAATGAAATTAATCAACATATAATTAAATTAAATTAAATAAAAACCTAAAAAAAAGTAGCAAGAAAATTAAACAAAATATAAAAATTAAATAAAAAATAACATATAAAATACAACTTAAAACATTTACAGAAATTCCATCTACATAAATAATATTCGAATTTATTGTTCTCAAAATAATTCCAGAAATAGAAATTACATTCAAACAAAATATAATTGGTTTACACATGCAAAATTAAATGAACAACTTTTTTTTATTTAATGAAAACATTTTTCAATCAAATATTGTTGAATTTTAAATTGTTTCCTACGCTTTTAATTTATGTATTTGTTGAATAAAAATAATGCAAATTTGTATTTCTATTTCAATTCCTAGTTTTTTTTCTTTTCTGAACCTCATTGATTTGCTACTATATGATTCGCACGAAAATCACATGCATAAAAATCACAAAATTCTTTTTAATTTCACGGTCAAACGAAATTGTGACTTTTTTGTTACCGGGAATAGCGTAACATATAAATATGGTTCTGTGTGTAAGTCAGTGGCATTAAAAATATTTCTTTTTCTAATATTTACTTGATAGTGTGCTGCTTGGCTTCACATGCATATGCACATACATACAGACATACATGCATAAACAAATGCTTATCTACATGCTTACGGGCATATGACTCAAAATAGCACGAGTCATAAAGTTAGCGCACAAGCACTTGGGATAAAATGTTTTCTGCAAAAGGAAATGTAGAGAAATTCGTACTTTTGTCTAGTTTGAAAAAAAAAAAACAATTTTTAAATTTATATTAAAACTTCTTAGCTTATTTAGCATTGTTTAATAAACAAAAGAAATAAAATTTCCAACAGGGTCATGTGCCAAATATTCTATGGGTATCTTAAAATACACATGAGTAAAAGGTGTTAATATATTTGTCTATGTATGTATGTAAATCCCAGTAGCAACACTGCAAATTCTTCTTAAATAACTTCACAATTATGAGTATTAATATACCTACATATGTACATACTTGTGTATACATATTTATAAACACAACAACACCATTTGGAAATAAATGCTTGTTATTTTATTTTGTTTTATTTCTGCAATAATTCTTTTTTGCCTTTTTCGCAGCTGATAATGAGCAATTCATACAAAAGTGGCTAAAAAAAAAACAAAAAACACAAAAATAAAGGCAAATATAATGAAAGAAAGTAAAATTGAACAACAACAAACTTATCACATATTTGTATTGCTCATGCCGCTTATCAAACTCAGCTGATTGTAACACTATGTATTGCACATGTTTACATATATAAATACATACAGACAATTGTAGTGTGGTAGCTGCTCACTTTTTCTTTTGCCTCTCACTCTCTCTCACACTTTGACAAAACCGCTGCAACATTATCATCACTAAAGAGAGTTTATCACTACAAGAAGTTATCCGCATTCTTTAGAGGTTATTTTTTACTTATAAAAATCATTTTTTTTTCACGCCATTGCCTACAGGGCTGGATATTATTGATAAAGTATTTTTCATGGAAAAATATTAATAAATTCAAAATGCAGTGATGGCATTGTACTCCTCTATTTGTTGATATGCGCAATTCTATACTTATAAATAGTGATATATACACATGTATATATGTATTTATATGGAAAGATACGAGTATGTTTACGAATGTATTTAAGCATGACTTCAAGGCAAAACATTGATAAAATATAAATGACGCTAAATATTATTTAATTAATGCAGTGTATATGGATATGGATTTATACATATTTACACATACATACATACATACATATCTAAGAACTTATTGTGAAGAAAGCAAGAGATTTGCAATTTCCTTGAGCTCTTTTTCGCATTCACTTTTTGCTATAAGTTTAATAAATATCGCAATAATATTTTTGCCAAAGGCAGCAATATAGTATACCAACACAAGCACTCTCATGAAGTTGTATATACCTACATAAATATATTATATTTTGTGTACAAACATTTATTGACTCAAAGATCGTTTGCAATTTGTTTATTTAATTTGTGGAAAACTTGGAAAAATCAAATCAAACGTGGAAATTGCACATACAAACATATGTATACATATATACAATAGTACATACCCAATCAGTGAATTTGAGTTTTTCACATTTATATGTACGAGTATGCATTAAGTTTCGATTTATTCTCGTTTTCATATAAACATTAGCGAAATAACTAACAACTACAATAAAGTCTAACAAATGAGTTGCGGAGGAAACAAAAATTGTATAAATATTTAAATAAAAAATTTTCTAATTTAACGCATTTTCCACAATTTTTTTTACTATTTTTTATACATTTTTTGAATCGTTTAATCTTCAGAAAAATTCACAGTATTGAACTGAAACGGTTCAATAATCTTGAAATATACTTAACCTTGTAATGATGAGAAACCATTATAAAAGTCTCTCAACACCATAATAGAAAATTTAGTACTTGTTTATTTTGTATTAGAATATTATATTTGAATTTATAACAAAAAAGGATGTACTGAAAAGCTGTAATTTTCAGTAAAACTATTAATTTTTATTTAGCTTGCAGTGATCTGATATCGCTTTCGTCGTATTTGAAGCTTATGTTGTATGATAAATTAATTTATAATAATTACTAGAAATAATTATTTTTTTTTTCAATATTTATAAACATATTTTATGTGCCAACCTATTTTCATATAACATTTAAGTATTTCAACAAATTGTATTTAGCTTGTAAAATGAATTCGCGCCATAATTTCCTTTAGCATAAATATAATTTTAAAAGTAGTGTACAAAATTTGGTATTTTAGAAGATCAATGAGGATCGCCGTGCCTCAGTGGAGTGAAAGCAGACAGTCTGGTATAGATACCGAGAATTGAAGAAGGAGGAATACGCATGTGCAGACAAAAAAGGGAAATATTCCGATGTGCTTGTGTATATAGAGCTCGCGGAGCTTGCCGACAAAAGTATTGCTCGAAAAATCTCTCGCAAAGCAAATGCTTTAAAAAGATACGGCAACTTACATAAGGTTTCAAGACACAGAGCAATGATCTAGTAACTGATGTCCAGAGTGTACGGGTTTTATGGAGGGAACATTTCTCTAGCCTGCTGAATAGCAATAAAAGTACAACACCAGGAGAAATGTTTCAATACCCGACTATAAAAAGGTTCGAAAATAAACGTCCGCTTGAAAACAACAAATTTAAATACACAAAATAGTTGATCTCACAGTATGCGCTTATTACCATGAAAGAACTCTCCTCAAGGCTCCATTGACCCTAACCAACACCAAAAGCTCCATTAGGATCTGGAAGAACCTCTCTGATCGATGATTTTCGATGACAAACGAGGTGATTCCATATCTTGTGACTTCTTTAATGTAGTGCTGGTTAAAATAATACGAACCGCAAAACCGAAAAGAGACGGTACAATCTTCTATAAGAGTGTACAGCTAACGATAATATTGACATCCTAGTTTTCACCAACTTTCTACTGATTGGATAAGGAAGCAAAGCGTATGTCTATCTTGGAACCAATAATAAAACTAACTACAATGCCAGCCTTGAATCCAACTCAGAAACAATCTTCCCAACTGATTAGGCTAGTGATAAAATAATCACTCCACGACCAAAGATCAAACTGAATAAATCTCTTACCATTCCCGTCCTGCTCTAAAGAGGAAAACATCTAATGAGTCCCCATTGAGGGTTATCGAATTGAGAAAAATCGTAATAGCGAATACCGAAAACAACCGAATAACGAGCTGCATGATATATACAGAGATATTTACATGGTTCGTTGGCTAGGCCATGTGTTGGGAATGGGTACGAATACTCCAGTTTTGAAAGTCTTTGGTGCAGTACTAAGTGGTGGAAGCCGAGGAAGAGGCTTTCCATTGGAAATTCTTGGTACAAAAGAACCTACGTGTATATAGCTATACTTGGAACTTCCAATTGGCGCCAAACAGCGAAAAAAAGGAATGAATAAGCGCGTAACCAATATCTTCGCCAAATATATTTAAAAAATATTAGATGTCTTGATTAACTTTTTTAGTTTAATTATTGTTTAAAGAAATGTACTTAAAAAAATTCCAATATTAAATACAGTAAAAATTTAAATTTAAATTGTAATCCATTTTTTTTAAATCAATGTTATTGTTTTATATACAAATTAAAGATTACATATTTATAAATATCGCTACCATATTATATGTATAAATTATAATATAATATATCAACAAATCCACTAACCTGTTGCCATTGATCCTCAATCGAGGGCTGTGATGAGAAATAGCCAGTGGTGCAGACATGCTCCAGTTCGCTAAATATATTCCCGCTAGGTAGTATATCCATATTGAGATCCATACTATGAAAATCCAACGACTCCGTTTTCATTGATACTTTTCCAACACGTTGTTAGGAAAATTTTTATAAAGATTTTATTTTTAATATTTTTATTTACTATATAATTTATGTACACTATGAGTTTAATTAATTAATTTTTTTTTTTTGCTTTATGCACCAAATTTTGACACTAATTTTTATGTTTTGCTAAAACATTTTACTTTTACTTCACTGTAGTTTATACGCTTTGTTGTTGTGGCGGAAGAGTAGAAAAGCTGTAATAATGGAAAGAATAATTCTCATTTAAATCTTTAATTTTTTATAAAAAAATATTGTTTAAATTTGCAATTAATTTGTTAAATAACATAAAAAAATAATAATATAATTTAATTTGAAAGACCAGAAAAAATATTTCAGAAAATGTATGCATATAATCATCATGTGCATACACACAAACTCATGTATATAAGTAACTCGATATCCGTTAGTTTCTAAAATATAATACTTAACACTTTATAGCTTTTCAATCCCTGTCAATCTAGCTTTACCATTCCCGCCAATCGCTTTTTTCACCATATACATATGTAGGTACATAAGTACATAACTATACATATGCATGTTATACGTGTACGTGCTAACTGCAGCTCGTCCAACAACCACTTCAATTTACTTCATTTTCTAAACATAAGTACGTACAAACAATAGCTTGTCCAAGACACGTTTCACGGTTATTCTCATCAGCCATTTGACCCCTCGACATTTTTTCGGGTTTTGTTTTGTTGCCTTCTTACCATATTTCATTAACCTGGTTTTTCTACTACTCATATTCCCAAACCAACAGTTTTGGAAAGCAACATTAACAATGAAAGCAAGGAAAAACTACACATAGATACAGAAATTAATTTTTTCATGTGTTTGTATGTAAATTTGTGCTGGGCTTTACACATCTATGAAAATGTTTAAGGTCGCTAACCTTTTTGTTAGTGGCGCGAGCTCTCGTTCCCCTTTCATACTATGAGAATAACCGTCATATTGCATTACCAAAAGTAATAGCATAAAGAAAAAAAGCACTTAAAAATTATGAATATTTCAGCGTAAGAACTTAAAGGAACTTGACTAGTTTTATTGGGTTGGGTGCTTTGTTATGCGCTTTATAAATATAAATTATTTGATATTGTGATTTTTATTTCGGTTAAAATTAAGATTTTTGGTTTGAAAGTTTTTCAAATTCATTTATTTATAATTATTTATTTTAATTTGTTTTATATTAATTTATTTTAATTTAGTTTATTTTATATTTTTTATTTTATTTTACTCTTTTTAATTATATTTTATTATGTTTAACTAAATTTATTTTAGATTGATTATTTGATTTTCTTTTTATGTCATTTTGCTTTTTTTTATTTTATTTTTTGGTTTTACATAATTTAGTTTAATTTTATATTATTTTAATTTATTATCTTTTACATGCTACTTGCTTTTATTGTATATTACTTTTTCATTTTATTTTATTTTATTACTTTATGTTTAATTTTAATATTCTTGTTATCAATTGGTTTTCAATTATTTTATTTGATTTTCTTTTTTCCATTTTATTTTGCTTTATCAAATTTTTTTATCTTTTTTTCTTTATTTGATTTTGTTTATTTATATTTTTTTGCTTTATTTTATTTTTTGATTTTATAATTCTTCTGAATTTTCTATGATTTTATTTTAATTTTTTAATTTCCTTTTATTATATTTATTACATTTTATTTTCTTTTATTGTATGCTAGTTTTTCAATGTATTTATATATTGTTTATTTTACTTTATTTTATTTCATTTTCATTTTGTTTGTTATAATATTTTCACTTTCTTATTTTTTTAATTTAATTTATGTTAATTTCATTTGAATTGATATTTCTTTTAATTTTGTTTTTAATTCTAATTTTAATTTTTGTTTTAGTTTTAATTATGATTTTATTTTTAACCATAATTTCAAATATAATTTAAATTTAAATATAAATATATTTTTTTTTTTTTTTGAAATATGAACTTTACAAAAATATGTATGTAAGTAGTAGTGTAAAATCAATGAAATTAAAATAACTCAATTATTACATCGGCTTCTTTGATAAAGAAAAATACATTACGATTATTCTCAATAATTCTACTGAGTAGCTGTTATCTAGCTCATTTTCTCTTTATTTATTTTATCACACCAGTTTCCTGTTTCCGTAATTACAAAATATTTATGTTTATTTAAAAAGTCGTACAAGCTCGCTGGTAAAGTAATTACAACTTAGTTTTCTTTTGTTTTCTTAATTTCGACCACTTTATTTTGCTGTGACTGGCACATACAGTTTTATTTTTTATTTTTGTTAATTTATATTTTTCACTTACTTACTACATAATGACCGACTTACTGAAGTTTTGTTATTTTCTTTATTTTAACGTTATTGCTTTTTATTTAACTCTCCATCGAATTATGTTATGTGTTTACCCAATACCTTAATAGACGCGTTAAAATAATCGCAAATTCACTTTTAGTGGTAAGTTATTATTGTTTTTTCTTTACAGTTATGTATAATTTATAGTTAACTTCAATATTATTCAAAAAAACTATTTATACAAATGGGAAAACGTTTCTTGAAGTCACTTTACAAATACTTTACTGCTGTGAATACTTTGCATTGCAAAAAAGCAAGGACCTGAAAGCCTTGTTCTTTTTCTAAACTAATCTCTGCAAGTGTATAGGTTGCTTGTGAATAGGGTGGTTTCCTGTAATAATTTCTCCTTTAAGGTAAACCCATTTAACTTTACAATGGTTGACATATGTGAATTCCATTACTTTCAGCATTTAAAATTCCAATACTCGGCTTCAATAGCAGACCAGTTACCTCATATTATTTCACATTTGGATACATACATATATCTACAGGTACCCTTCTCTTCAATTTCAATTTTGGTTTTTTTTTCTGCTCTTCAATTATCACCTTTTCAATACTTTGAGCCAATGCATTATTTCCTCTTACACCTTTCAAGTTACCTTTATTTTTGTTTGTTTTAAATTCCCCTTTTTGTCCAATTTTTGTTTTGGTCTTGAGTTTGTCAGAGTCACATACAACTTGGTTTTGGGACAAGAAGACGTTAACAAAACGTAAATCGAAAATAATTAAAATTTGGTAGAGAAGAAATTCAACGAAAATAAATTCAATACCAAAACAAACATATGTGACTGAATTCCACTTTGGCTTACATATAATACTTGTAAGTCAAAAACCAAACCAAAATAAAGAGGAAAGAGTAAATAATGCGTTAAGAGTGTGTCGGTTTTATGTACAGTTGCGTGTTTCTGACAAAAATAATAAAAACGTTTTTACAGTGACAAGCACATTGAGCACTCAATACAACCTTACAGGAAGCTTGTGGAAGGGTGTAGATATTACTTGTGCTAAATAGAGTTGCCAACAATTGGTAAATTTTAAGCAATAAAGAAACATATAGGGGTTTTTTTAACGAAATTGTTAAACAAAGTGAGCAACATGCGTAATTGTTTTTCAAAATTTCTTTCTAGTTTATAACTAAAAATTTTTATATTTAATTTAATTTAAATTTACTAACTAATATTTGTATTTAAAAGCAAAAATAGGAAGTATCCTATATTGAATATATTTTCTTTAAAATTGAATTCTTAGAAAAAACCAAAACTTAATTATATACAAAACTATTGTGAATTCGCAAAAATGGGGCGGCCATGAAAGCATTCTGAAAACTTGCACCTTTAGTCATCGAGGCCTAAATATTTTTGTTTGCATTATGTCTTTGTAAAATTCAAAATTTATATTTTTTGTAAGTAATTATGACTTATCGTGAAGCTACTTTTGAAGTTTTTTCTTCCAAGAAATTGTTAAAAGATTTTCAAAACTCCCACTAAAAAATTCAAAGTTTTTACCGTCACATATATATCACATGTATGCACCTGTTTTTCTTCACTTTATTTATGATAGATATAAATGTGAAATAATATAATAACTTTGGTCCGAAGTATATGCATATGAAAGTACCAGAAGGAGAAGCGATATATACTTCAAGCATATAGTGATTTTATCAGAATGGCTGAATTGTTTGAGCGATATCCGTCTACCTCTTGAGATATTTGAACGAAGCCTAATAAGGGGGCGCATTTTTGCAGATCGGCCGACTATATCATATGGCTCGAATACAACTAAATTGTTCCTTTGACAAAGCATCAAATAACATGAAAATATGTTTTCTACACACTTGTGTCAAAGTAAAAGGTGACACTGAAAACCATCGATATCGGAAGACTATAGCCTTCTTACAGCCGATTCGTTCGGGTATGAGGTTTAAGGTCAAAACCTGCCAAAATAGTATTTGAGAGTGCAGAATTTCGGGCGTACATATGTACATACTTATATTCTGATAAATATTATCACTGAATATCGAATTTCGTATTTTACAATAAATTCTCTATGTTCATAAATTGTCTTTCTGTTTTTTTTTTCCTTTTACTTTTCATTCACCATAGCAAATAGTGTGTTCATTAAGTACTTATGTATGTTTGTTAGTATTATTATTGTATGTATGTAGATATCAGCTTCCGGTTTTTTTCGTTCGTTCGTTTGTGCCTCCATCGAACGCATCATTTTTCAAAATTTCAACTTTTCTTCTTCCTCTTACTCTCCGCTCCACTTGTGGATGACGTGACTCCTATCACCTTTGTGTACTGCCTTCACACATTTTGTTGCTTTATATTTTTCAACTTTGACTCCGTTTCTTTTACATGTTAGTTGCTTGTTGGTATGTTTCTATGTATCTTTGTGTACTTTTGCATAGTTGCTTTTATATATAGAGGATTGTATGTATATGTACATATGTACATATGTATGTGTGCATGTTTATGTTTGGTGTAGGTGCATTATGATGCGTTGGTTTTGCTTTGATGCTATTAGTGCTTTGGTTGTTGTTATTATTGTTTCTGTATTTAGTGCTTTGAGACTCTCTTGCGCCGGCATTTGACTGCTTTGACTTAAGACATGCACTTTTTCATTTATTGCTTTTTATTCTTCTCTTTATGTATCATGTATGTATGTATGTATGTTGGTGTAAGCACGCATACATATAAATATACATATGTATGTACAAA